AATTGTTGGTTAGTCTAAATTATTACACAGTTTAAAGCATCATTTTGTTTCTCAATGAAAGCAAACAAAACATGTATAGAAGTTTTATTTTACAGCGTGTTACAATGTATAACCAGTCAGTCCAACGACTCCAAATCAATTTTGTTACATTAGAGAAAGAAGACGATTCGTTGTACTGCTTTCGACTCTTAATCCTGGTCTGAATTCAGTTACCCCCCCCCCCCCTCCCGCGCCAAGCGCGGAAGTTTTGACGTTTCATTAAATTATTGCAGGAAGAAGACGATTCGTCGTACCGACTCTTAATCATTGTCTGAATTTTCAAAAATGTTTCTTTGTCCGATAAAACGATTTATTTCAACAACAAAAGAGAGAAAGAAAAAAAACCTCTCGATACAGGTATCGAGCTGCCGTGCATTTATTGTTATTGTAACTTTTTTTTAAATAAATACAGTTTCACTCAATCAATTAATCAATCAAAACCATTTTTAATTCACCTTCCCCATGATTTGTTATTAATATTTCCCGCTTTATTCTGTGAGGACCAACCAGACGAAATGAAATAAAAAGGTATGGTATTGACTTTCTTCATCACACCTGCAGGCGTAGGTAGCTTGCTAGCAAATAAAACAAATTGTGAAATTGTGTAAGTTTTAATTATTTTAATTTGACCTATTACAGATAAGTTACGCATTTCCACGCATTCATTAAATGTCCAGTATGCGCTCAACATGCGTATTAAAGAGGACTTAAACAAACCTCAGTGTCATAATATACAAAAACATGCAATGTGCTATACGGGGAAAAGAACTAAAGATTACATTCGGGACTTTTAGATTTACACGACGAGAGCGTGGACTGCCGCGTGTGACATTGCGTTAGGGCACTAGGCCGTGCCTTAAAAGGACGTCACATTACCTTAAAATGATGTCACGCGTGGCGGTCCACGTTCTCGTCGTGTAAATCTAAAAGTCCCTATTATCTTTCATTGAGTGAACCGACCTGCACTGCTTTCAATTTATTGAAATTATATTATGTTCAATTTTTGATTTGCAGATGGGAGAAGCTGTACTTCGTACCCTTATAGTATTCAGTCAACTAATGGCTCCTTTGGCACAAGAAAATACATGCAGTGGTAAGGCTCCTTCTCCTCTTCCCACCCATCTCTCTCTCTCTATTTCTCTATCTCACCCTCTCTCTTTCATTGTCTCCCCTCCTCTCTTCCCCCTCGTTCCCCTCCATTTCTTTCTCCTATAACGTCTACATTCAATGGTTAATGATGACTCCTCATTCCACCACTTTCTCTCTACCCCACCTCTCTTCCTTTAATTATCTTCCCTCTTCCTTCTTATCTTCCTATCTTCCTTCTAATTCTCTCCTACTTTATTTTCTACGTCAATCATTGCTGCCCCTTTACTATTCCCAGTGACGTTTAAAGGTAAATCTCCTCTCTCAATCTGTCTCTCACCCTTTATCTCTCTCTCTCTCTCTCTCTCTCACATTGCTGTTTTCTCCCCTCTTTCTCTCTCTCTTCCTCTTTCCCCCACTCTGTCCCTTTCTTCCTCCTATTGTGCTCTCTTCTTCGCCTATCATTGATGTCCCTTTACTATTTCACGTGACGTTCAATCGTTGGTTCTTCCATCTCTCTATCCTCTCCCCTCCCCTTATAGAAATGTACCATGGTAATCATGGTTTTCACCACTCGCTTACCATGGTTCTCGGTACCATGGTTCTCTGTACCATGGTATGGTTACCATGGTTCTCCCGTCCCTTTCATTACCATGGTTCTCCCCTACCTTTCGTTACCATGGTTCTCCCATGGAAAGGTGTCGTACGTTTTCCCTACGGCTCCCTCACGGGCCCCTCAAGAACCCCAGTGATATGCACAACACCGGGCGTCTGCCGTCCGGGGACCTTTTGAAATGAATATTGCCCGTGCGGGCCCCTTACGGCCGCATCTCAAAATGTACAACGCAGCTTTAAATACAGGAGGTGCGGATGTCAGAAGACACATAGTTCAGTGCATCGTACGGCACCCGCCCGGGCCCCGGCAGGGCACCTTCCTGGAGCCATGGGTGCACCTGCTCATCGGACGGAGCCCGTAAGCTTACCGGCCGGCACCCTGCCGACACCCTTACGGGCGCCTAGCATTTCACTCGACCATTTTTCACCGGGCACCTCCCGGACATCGCAGAATATGTGACCACACATGCCGTAGAAATGAAAATCGGAAGGTTCCCGTACGGTCTCTAAAACAAGAGGAGAAAAAACACATGTACCATGCTAATCCAAAACGGCCATGGTACTCAAGAGCCCCGGTGATAATTATGCACAACACCGGGCGTCTGCCGTCCGGGTTTTTTTTAAAAATGAATATTGCCCGTGCGGGTCCCTCACGGCCGCATCTCAAAATATACAACGAAGCTTTAAATACAGGATGTGCTGAGGTCAGAAGACACATAGTTCAGTGCACCGTACGGCACCGCCCGGGCACCTCCCGGGCATCGCAAAATATGTGACCACACATGCCGTAGAAATGAAAATCGGAAGGTTCCCGTACAGTCTCTAAAACAAAAGGAGAAAAATGCATGTACCATGCTAATACAATACAGCCATGGTACTGAGCCAAGGTTAGAATCATACAAACATGGTATTGAGCCATGCACCTTGGTTCTTGCATGGTTGTACCATGGTTAGAGACAAGTACCACGGTTACCATAGAGTACCATTAATTGTTATACAAGGGTTTTACCATGGTTACCATGTTTTTTAATTTTATCTATTCTTTCTTCTCTTTCCCCTATTCTGTCCATTTCTTCCTCCTATGTTCTCTCTTCCACGCCTGTCATTGCTGCCCCTTTACTATTCCCCGTGACATTCAATATGGTGGAACTCCTCCCACCTCTGTCTCTCCCACATCTCTTCCTTGAATGATCTCTCACCTTTCTCTTTTTCTCCTTCTCTTTCTCCTACTCTGTCCATCGTGGCTTGCATATTGAACCCCACTATACGAACGTGATTTGCGGGATGTCCGTTTATCGTCTCTTCACGATAAACAAAATAAAGGCATTGTCTCTGCGCAGCTGCTTTGCGCCGTTTGACCCGGGAAGCAGACCGTTTCTCGGAGGTCAACTATAGAGCGCGTGTTTAAAAAAATATTTTCGATCAAACTAGTACTAGGCTACATCTAGTAATATTGTCACTTTCAAAATTCAAGTTTAAAAAGTCTGGCTCGTTTTTAATTCCGCTATTGTCTGTGTGTGTTTGTAAACATGTCGGGAGAAAATTTTCGTATTCGACACATGTCTCTGGCGATGATATGTGCTCAACGATTGGTACTCATGCTGCTGCTAAATTACTGCACGAGGAATGACAAGACAGCTAACATGGGCATACTTGGCCTTTACACTCGTATTCACAGACATAATTATAAAGTAAAGGTCTGAACTAAGGATAACAAACAGCGAAATGTTGTCGATCTTCTTAGAGTAGTAAATGGTATGTGCATGCGATGGCAATAGGGACTTTTAGATTTGCACGTCATCAGCTTTGACTGCAACGTGTGACGTCATTTTAAGGCACTGCGCATGCGTTACGTCGTCTAAGTCGGCGATCGAGAATGCGTCAACCTTGATTTTCCTAAATCTAGTACATACACATACATACATATTGAGGGTTTGTTGAGGGTAGAATGAGGAACTGTATATTTTGTCCTCTTTCTTTGTCCGTGATGTTCGTAGTGTTACTTCCTGCATGCGTGTATATCGTCGAGTGCAATCTAAAAGATTTCTAATTGTAGTCAACATGGGTAGTTAAGTACGTTGACACGCATGAACAGTCGGCGTTCATCGTGTTCTCGTCCACTCAATCTAAAAGTCCCTAATACAAAAGTAAACGTAAACGACAAACAATGCAATGCATACAAAAAACAATGAACTATGGTCTATGGACGGGTACATACATATCCTTGTACGAAAACATTGCACAGCACATGGCCCGCGCTATTTCTCTGAACTGGAAATTAGCCTAGGAACGTCCGATTTGTATGTGGGGTTCAAAACAGCTTTGCGTTTATCATCTCTCAGAAATTCAAAACACACTTTTTTAGGCGTTTGAAAAAGGCTTTTCGTTTATCACCTTAAACATTTGCCGGAAAGACGATTGAAACCCTGATTCTAGGCGAAAAAATGGACTATAAACGTACCCATTTTCCCTTTTCTACGCATGTCATTGCTGCCCTTTACTATTCTCCTTGACCTTCAATGGTAAGACCCCTCCTCTCTCCCTCTCTCTACCTTTACCCCCCCCCCCTGTTTCTCTCTGTCATCCTCTCTTTCCCATACTCTGTCCAATTAGCATTGAAATGCAAAACATAACCTGCTATGTGTTTAGATCGCTCAATAATTATACTACAATTTACGAGCCTCGTCTCATGAAGGCGATATGGATTTATCTTTAATTATTATTGATAATGTCCCAACACTTTAAAAAAAAGAAAATGGAGCAAATCGAGTTGGGGGGAGGGGGAGGGGGAAACAAATATAAATGTGTCTTTGTGGCTTTTGTCATCGCGACTGCAACACTAAGCTATTTTAATAAAACACTCTAAAATATTCTCCTAAACATTGTTTCATTGTTCGAATGTGAAGGCAGGTGGAGCATGGGAGTAATCAATATATTATGCCACTCTTCCGCACCTTAACACCATTATGTAAACAGAAATGTATAACTAGCCTGTTACTTTATACTTATAGTTGTAATGATGTAGTCAGTGCATGATTTAATTATCTGCTCTCAGTTTATATACATATGTATAACTCAAATTTGTGAAATTGTGAATTCCCATTCTAAGTTGACCTTCGCTATATAAAACATTACATTATAAATTAACATTATCATAATTATAGTTCTTATCATTATCACCATCATCATTATCGTTAGATGTCGTTGCTCTGGGCCTTGAAAGTGGGACCATCCCAGATTCTAGCCTGACAGCTTCTAGCATGTGGAACGCCAATCTTGGAACAAAAAGAGCGAGACTGAACACAGTCCAAGTTGGTCTTCTGAGTGGAGCCTGGTCAACAAGGGTAAATGATATCCACCAATGGATACAGGTATTACCAGAAATACAAGAAACATTCTAAAATTCTAAAAACAAATCATATACACATTATTTGTTTTGGTTTGGGAGAACAAGTTGAAACATCTGTCGACAAGCATAAGTATGTGCATGTAAATTATAGTGCGACCCAGAAAAACGAAAACGAGAACTATCGCTGTTTTATCATAACTTAATCACAATTATAATTGATAGATGACACTTATTTGTAAAGCTTAGATCCTCTTCTTTCATTTGATGCAACTCATATAATGCATTTTCACGCATGAATGATTAAAATTAATTTTAAGAGAAGGGGCGGCGACGTACCCTAGCCCCCACTACAGTCATGATTCGGTCGCTAAGCAATGGCCTCGTTATTGTGAGGCCCCAGAATAAAAACCGTGTCGATCAGCTATATTAAAGGACTTTTTTGAGGCATTAATGTAAGTTATGACTTAAGGATGTAGATCCCCTAGTTGATTAGCATAGTAGCATACACATGCTTTAGCAGTCACGCAAAAAAAAACACTCACATATTGTTATTCAATAAAATCTGAGAATGTATACTATTTATCTAGATCTATTAGGAATACATCATTGTCAAAATAATTCCATAAATTGGGGTAAAAATATTTATTCCACCATTATGACCATGATGCATAACAAAAATATTATAAAATCATTACTTGACAAAGCCCTAAATGAAAAGAATTGTAGAACAATTTCTTCGTCTACGGAGAATTATTTTTTTAAATAATAAAAAACGATGTGATAATAACTATAAAGATTATGGAAATAATAATTATCTTACCATATTAATTATACATTATCATTAATAATATAATTTGTATCATTATAATCGTCATTGTCCTTCACATTTTTCAATAAGGTTGATCTGCTAAACCCTCATCGTATCTTTGGATTAGCAACGCAAGGTCGTCAGGGTTGTTGTAAACAGTGGGTAACTAGCTTCAAGATTGCCTGCAGTGTTGATGGAATTTCCTTTAATACTGTACAAGACCTCAACACCTCTAGCACGGACAAGGTAAATACTCATACCTCGGTCACACCGTCAAGCTGACTCCACATCGACTACAAACCTACAAATTCTTGGTCGTGGGCGTATATGTATTTTTTTATAGTTTGGTCTGGTGTCTATTTATTTACAATACCATATTAGGGCGCGAAATTACGAGATACAGAGACACCATTTTCGAAAAGACTGGAGTTGCCAGATTCATGAATAAGGGTATGAGGAATCACACCCATAGGTGTTACACACACGACCACACCCCGTAAAAACACCGGGGTAGGGGTGAGGTTTCTACCAGTAAGTTTTGGCTTACTTCGTTTAATCGGTTATTCGCGTCAGGTTGGACTGCTGGCTTCCGTGAAAACTTACCCCCATTTGTAAAAACGTGTCCTTTATTCACGAAAGGTCGGGTAACCTGAATGCTTATGATTACAATTACTCAAAGATGGTCCTTGGTATAAGGCTTATCTTTGACATTTTGAAAACATGCCCATACAATCGGATAATGACGTGATAATGAGTTTCAATTGCTGGCGTTTTTCGTACAAGCTCTGTACGATATTATTAGACTCGTGTTGGGTCGAGACATGAGATTTCATAGATTGGCAGTAGATGTTTAAATGTCCTGTAAACGTTGGTGATAAGGGGAGTGTATTTCACAAGCGTTACCCCCAAACTTTTTGGAGATTACGACTTGAGTATTTACGACACTGAGTTTGTGTAACCCAACGAAGCGATCAAGATCCGTTGGAACGAAGTAAGCCACAAGTTTAGTGGTTAACCTATGTTTAAGTGGACGAACAGGCGGGGGGGGGGTAGACCCCCTTGTGCCCCTGACTACGCGTACCGTCAAGAAGTTTTTTCTTTTTCCCCGTTAAAGGTCTTCAATGGCAATATTGACCAGGACACTGTGGTAAACAACACGTTGCCCGTGCATCAAGTCTGTCGCTTTGTCCGCCTGCTACCCCTCACCTGGTATGATGCTATCAGCCTCCGTATGGAGCTCTATGGAACAGCTCACGTGACAGGTAAGTTTCAGAGAAAAACTCTCAAATTAATTTCTTTACCATTTGATGGATGGAACACCCTGATAAGGACGAATTTAGGTTTCCACATCTATAACATACCTTTTTTTGCTTCTGTCAATGCAGAAGAACAAATTATATATTCACAATGCAATTTGACAATGGAGATGTTATACTCACCCTAGCCAATGTTTAAAAAGAAAAGAAATCATAACATTAAGAGGAGACTTCTGAAATGAGTTAGATCTCTGAGTGAGATATCGTATAGAAAATGCATGTTGTAATTTTATATAATCTTACTTGAATTTATACTGTATAGTATTATTCATTTTTAGTGATTTATTGATTTTACTGATTTTAAATAATAATACACTCAAAATCAAATTTAGACCACGGTTGAGCCCTCTACCAGTGTGCTAAGATAGTCAAGTGTTGTCTATCCTAATTAAAACACGATCACCACGATCCGATAGCGTGTTGAGAGAGATAGTTGTGACACGCACACATGTACGCTATCAAAGGTCAATTTGTGGAGCTCCAAATAGTTCCCTCCACAAGACGCGTACATGTGTGCGTGTCACAACTATCTTACTCAATACGCTTTGCACGATCCAAAATAAGTTTTGAAATGAATCTCAAGGGCAATTCAAATACCATTTCTTATATGTGATAGACGCTTGTTCGGATTACGTAATCCGTCATTGATTTTAAAAGCAATTAGTGCATACGTCAGTAAATCAATTCAGCTCATTATATATTCACTTTTATATGATATTAGTCTCACAAATTATGAAGCATCAATAGCCGCGTCAGTCAGCGACGCAATCCTACGTCATAGTCCTGTAGAAGTTTTTCAGACCTGGAAAAGTTGATAAGTACAAGGTTTTTTTGTTGATTTGTGTTCTAGATGGGTATTGAAGAAAATTCAGCTTGGTTGCCAACTTGGCAACCTTGGGCAACTTTTTATTAGCCATATTAGCATAATCATCTAACTAGCATATGTAATAATGTTGCTAATCTCAATCCAGGTAGCCTGAAAACATGGATAATACGACTTTTCATTAAGTCATATTATCCATGTTTTCAGGCTTCCTGGATTAACATTAACAACATTATTACATATTGCTCATGTATGCTAATTAGATTATTATGCTAATTAGGCTAATTATACTACATCTACATGGAATATCTTCTCATGAATTAATGATTAGTCTTTCAAAAGTGATTTACAATGTTGCATTGCGCCATTTTTATGCTTTATAGATAAACAATGACAATGAAGTCCATATATTGTACGCATACTTATTAGCTCATTATGCTCATTGTGCTATTTAAGACAATTAATTACTTGGAATAAAAAACTGGTGTCATAAATTAATTCCTTGTCATAGAAAACCCTTGAAAAATCGTATTATCCATGTTTTCAGGCTTCCTGGATTGGGATTAGCAACATTATTACATATTGCACATAGCTGGCAACCAAAATACAAAATACAACAAGCTGGCAACCAAGCTGAATTTACTTCAATACCCATCTAAAACACAAATCAACAAAAAAACCTTGTACTTATCAACTTTTCCAGGTCATGTACATGGTTTATGGTACCGCCTACTTGACTATAAATGGGATTAAAAAGAAAAGTGCAGTAAGTGCAGTGTTTTCTGACGCACTGTCCTTCTGTATCTGCCGTGTTATTATTGCATTGACGGCTAATAGACTTTGTGATCTTTTTTACATGACTCTGTTGACTAAATAATTGAACCCCCCCCCTTCGTTTTTTTTAATGTACGTATTTTGAAGCAAACCCCCCTTGTGTGTTTAGAAGAAAAAACAAATTATACCAATGGCTGACCTAAAAAAGGTTTCCTGACCCCCCCCCCAAACGGAACAAAATGTCAAATTTTCAAATTTCGAGACCCCCCCCCCCCCCCCAGAAAAAAGAGTCCTCTTATAAGATACCTCTTATAAGAGAAGAGAAGATACCTCTTCTCTCGGTATCTTAAATTGCACATTGCCACGCTAAATTCCACGCTCCACGCCCTCTAAATTTCTGGGAATTAGCTTTCTCTTTGTGGCCGTAGCTACATCGTGTCTGGCCAAAACCTTGCCATTTTTTGGATTCAGATATTTGAAGATAAAAAATATATACCCTAGCGCTGACCGGATTTGAGAAAATTGCCCTCCCAATTCGCGGTTTTCAAGAAAATTGCTAAATAACTTCAACCTGCTCTGAACTGACAATACTTATACCAACGTCAATGAAAGTTTGCAGACACATGTTTTCATACACCTGACAACTCTCTGCTAGTTTGATAACATTTGATCACGTCAGCGAAAAATTATCGCCAAAAATGATGAATTTATTACGCATCACGTAACAGCCCGACAAATGCATGCAGTACATTGCGCGCAGATGACAATGCTGTCAATACTCCGGCAATGAAGTGCCCTTTCGAATCATACCAAGTATGGTAAATCTTCACACGGTAAAATGTTGAGTAAATCGCATCTGAACAAGGGTCACTATACGAATTCCGCCGAGTTTCTGCCCGATTATAACACGTATCAGCTACGACGTCATTTTTACTTTCAGTTTCTTTTCGTCCTTTTTCCCCCTTGAAGTTTTGCAGTGACATTCCGAGTTGCAATACGCAGTGCACCTTGAAGCAAGATTTTTGTAATCTGTCAAGGGGGCCATTTTAGACGCCATTTTATACTATGCATGGTTATGCTACTATGGAAGGCTAGCAGTGCTACAGCACGCGTCGATCTGTTCACGTGTTCTTCATTTACCACAATCCAATTCGTTTTGAACGCACTGCTTGCGAGCACTTTCTAGGTCCCTTCCTCAATCCAAATTCCTTTCAAACTTCTTAGGCCTAGTCTCTAGCATCCCATCAAGGTCACTGAAATCTTCATTCTCCGGAAAAAAATCATGCGTGATCTTTCAGGCACCATTTTGTCCGTTTCGGGCCGTTTTGAGACATTTCTTTTGCCCTACCTATCTCCACTATCTCATAAGCTACAAATAAGTTTCAAATTCAGACATTGTTTACTTTTGAACCCAGTCGTTCTTTCTTGAACAGCGGGCGGAACCTGGGTAAAAGTGTCAGCAACTACTTGAATGCCACATACACATGCGAATGTATTAAGCCTACTCCAGTTATCAACATAAATATATTCGATTACGTAGGAAAACGCCAGCAACCGCGGACCACTCCATAGAAAACTACCTCAGACCGCGGACGTACCTGCAATGGGGGACCGTCCACGGTTGCGATACCGGTTCCGCCGTATCAAATTTACGACGTAGGGGCGTTTGAATATTAGATGTCACAGCGTGTAGGCCACATCGACTGGATCAGTCTGATGTGTATCGCGAAATGTCACAGCGCCCCCTTTAGACTGCGCGGGAGAGGCGCTCGCTACCTGGATAATCCCATAGGAGATACGTCCGCGGTTGCTGGTGATTACCTACGCATACACAAACACACACGTACTAAACTTGGTCCACGGTTGACAGCATTTCCCTGTAGTGGTGTGTCATTTAGGAATCACAAATATGTTCATGAAAACAAATACTAAATTTCCATGGGCATTAGTTTAAAATCAGAGAGAGAGAGGGGGGGAGGAGATAGAGAGAATAAACATTGTAATAGAAACTCCATTGATAGAAACAAATTCTAATTGAGTTAAGTTTTAATTTTCCCGGGATCAAGTGAAATTTAAGGATTTTCAGCAGACTCCTAGTAAATCAGTGTGTGTGTACGTGGGTGTGTGTGTGTGTTGGGCTGTTGTGGATAGAAGTGCTATCGATCTCACAATAATAAACAAGTTCCATGGAAAACAGCGAAACTTATAGATTGACTGAAAAAACTTTTTTGGGGGGTTTGGGGGGGGGGAGGGGTGGTGTTAAATATTTATGATGTACATCCTGACATAAAATTGTTTTTACTTAATTTCTTTTAGTATAATGTTTTTGCATCCTTTCGATTTAAATAGAAAAAACAACAACGTCAACAACAACGCATCCAACAACAACAACAATGCAGCCGCCGACACCACCAGTGATCTTAAGTATGTAGACTATAGTCTTGTAATAAATTGATGATAATACTGGGTTTGTGATTGCCTGCAGAGGCGTATCAGGACAATAACCCCCTGAAAAATCATCCCGGAAAATTACCCCCCCCCCCCTGGTAAACTACCCCAAGGACAAATCCCCCATGCAAAATTAGAACTGTAGAACAAAATATGAAAAGAAAATGTTCATTTCTACGGTCTTAATGACTTTTTAAAGAGAAGGTTGAGTTTTAGGAAAAGGTGACAAAGAATTCGTGAGCGTTATCATTGTATTATGCAAGTGTGCATGGAAGAACATCAGATAAAAAGTGTTACCTGAAAAGCAATGCTCTTCAAATGCCTTGATATTCTAAATATGGCATGTTACATCATACAAATCGGGACGAATTTTTATGCCACATGTGTAGTCCCATTATTCTGTGTACAGTGCTTGAAACTCTACCAAGACTGGGCCAAATTTCTTATCAATTTGATGATTCCAGAACCTTGCAGTACACACCAATACTTATATGCCAGATGATCAACCAATTCTAAAAGGTTTCACAACGTTTGTTTCACAATGCAATCGCATGACGAGAACTCAACCTTCTCTTTAAAAGTATATGGATGGCTGACCAAGTTGCCTGCGACTACGTGCTCACAGCAGAGTCATTAACCCATCAAGAATCTATGTAGGGTGGAGATAAATATAAATGATATGTATATACACTGTTGCTCATGAAGTTGGAATATTTTTTTTTTTACCCCCATTTATGGAATTATTTTGACAATGATTTATTCCTCATAGATCTAGATAATAGTATACAAGTCATTCTCAGATTTTATTGAATAAAAATTCGCCAGTAGTTGTTTTGCGTGACTGCTAAAGCATGTGTATGCTACTATAAACTAGGGGACCTACGCCCTTAAGTCATAAATGACAGTAATGAGGATTAATGCCCCAGAAAAGGGCACTAATATAGCACATCGACACGGTTTTGATCCTTGGGCCTCAAAGTTAAAAGGCAATTGCTTTGCCACTGAACCATGACTGTACGTAGCGGGGGCTAGAGTAGGGGGCAGTTCCCACCAAAAAAAAAAACCCAAAATGCAATAAATTATCAATAACTCATTGAATTCCCCCTCCCCCGGCCCCAACATAATTTTTTGTATGTGTGCCCATGCCTTGAGCCATGGCGCATGGCAAGACAGATGATTTTTGTTTATGTTGGGGACCAGGGTGAAATTGATAGTTTATTGCATTTTCTTTGGGTTTTTTTATTTGTGGGAACTGCCTCCTACCCTAGCCCCCGCTGCGTACAGTAATGGTTTAGTGGCGACGCAATGGCCTCGTAACTGTGAGACCACATGATCAAAGCCGTGTCGATGTGCTAGTGCCCTTTTGTGGGGCATTAATCCTCATTACTGTCATTTATGACTAAAGGGCGTAGGTCTCCTAGTTGATAAGCATAGCAGCATGCACATGCTTTAGCAGTTACGCAAAAACAAACACTGGCAAATTAATATTCAATAACATCTGAGAATGTATGCTATTATCCAGATCTGTTAGGAATAAATCATTGTCAAAATTATTCCATATCATAAACCCCCCCCCCAAAAAAAAAAAGTTAAGAAACTCAAGTTGGCCTTTATTATGCGTCACCTACTGAAATATGCAACATGATTTCTGTGGGACGAGTTATAGTGTATTGAAAGTGCCCTTGAGTTGATTTTTCTAAGAATAGTTGGGATCGTGTTTTGATATGTACAGGCACACACACACATAACATACACGCGCACACACGCACACACGCACACACACACGCACACACAAACACAAACACGCGCGCACGCATATGCGTGCTTGCGAGCGTGTGTTTGATTTTTACCTAAATTCACGTGGGGAATTTCTGTAGTTGTTTTTACTTTACAATTATGACATCCTTCGCACATGAATGGACACCATAACGTCGACAACAACGGCACAATACCCAAACTTAGCTATTATTAATGAAGTATGTCCTTGCTATCATATATTCTCCTAAAACATATTTTCAGTATTTGAATGTAAAGGCAAGTGGAGCCCGAGAGAAATCAATAGATGTCATTCTCCCGCACCATTATGTAAACAGATATGCATAACTTCCTAGCTTATTACTTTATACATAGAGTTGGAATAATGTAGTAAGTGCATGATTTATTTATCTGCTCTCAGTTTGTATAAAACTTCAGTTTGTGAATTTGTGAATTCCCATTCGGAGTTGACTTTCGCTATATAAAACATTACATTAACATGGTCATTATTAGTGTCATTGTCATTATTATCGTTATCGTTATCGTTAGATGTTGTTGCTCTGGGCCTTGAAAGTGGGACCATCCCAGATTCGAGCCTGACAGCTTCTAGCGTGTTCACTGACAACCATGGACCAGAAAGAGCGAGACTGAACCTAGTCCTAGTTGGTAATCTACGTGGAGCCTGGGCAGCAAAAGTAAATGATATCAACCAATGGATACAGGTATTACCAGAAATACCAGAAACCTTTGCTGATGCCTCATTTACCGCTCTTTGGAATTAGGGGAATCTATAAATAAAAATGATGAGAAATTAATTGCTTTCTATTTTTATTTTTATTTTTATTTATTTATTTTTTTTTTTTTTTTAATTTTTTTTTTTTTTTTTTTTTTTGGGGGGGGGCATGGAAACATCTATCGGCAGGCATATAAGTATATATGTAAAAATATATTTTTTAATCATTTTTCCCTCTTTACCATTATTCTCTCGAATATATATATACATTTTCAAACTTTGTTAAAAAAATTAAAAAGGGGGGACGCAACCATTGTTTTTTTCATTTTCTTTCGCCTTGTATCTATTTCCACGAGAGTTGCAACAGCTGTTGTCTATGGGTTATGTATTATATACATGTATATATATATAGAGAGAGAGAGAGAGAAAGAGAGAGGGAGAGAGAGAGAGAGAGAAAGAAAGAGGGAGAGAGAGAGAGACTAACACACACACACATCCATACACACACACTCACAACATCCCCCTACACACATATACTTAAATTATATGGGCTATTTTGATGCAGAACGACAACATTTTTAAAGTCAAATGAAAAAAACTAGTTAACAAATATTTGTTAAACTATTTCTTCGTTTACAGAGCATCATTATTCTGAAAAGTATGTATATATTGACGACTTTGTTTAATCACGATAAGAACAATATGCAAATAGTAATACAGATTGTGAAAATTATAATTCTCATACCAGTTACATAATTCATTATCATTACTAATATTACTAGTATCATTATTATCATTATTATTATCGTTTCGAACATTATCATTGTAGTCATCATCGTTCATATTTTTCATTAAGGTTGATCTGTTAACCCCGCATCGCATCTTTGGATTGGCAACACAAGGTCGTCAGGATTTTTATCCACAGTGGGTAACTAGCTTCAAGATTGCCTGCAGTGTTGATGGAGTTTCCTTTAATAATGTACAAGACCTCAGCACCCCTAGCACCGACAAGGTAAATACTCATACCTCGGCCACACCGTCAAGCTGACTACACATCGACTACAAACCGACAAATTCTTGGTTGTATAGGCGTATATGTAATGTTTTAGTTCGGTCTGTTGTCGGTCTGGGGTCTTTTATTTACAATACGATATTTGGGCGCGAAATTACGAGATACAGAAGCACCATATGCGAAAACACTGGCGTTGCCAAATTAATTTAACTGAAGGAGGGGAGGGGGGCATGACAGAAAGTTTTGAGGATCACACCCATAAGAGACTCACAGTTACACACACACACACACACACACGCACCAATCACACAAACACGCACCATAAGCCACACACGACCACACCCCGTAAAAACACCTGGGTAGGGGTAAGGTTTCGACCAGTAAGTTTTGGCTTACTCCGTTCCATCGGTTATTCGCGTCAGGTCGGATTGTTGGGTGACACGACCTTCCGTGAAAACTTACCCCCATATCTACGAAAGGCCGGGTACTTCACGTTGTTGGGTTACATTATATTTCGTGAAAACGTGCCCTTTATTCACTAAAGGTCGGTGGCCTGAATGCTAATGATTACAATTAATCCAAGAGTTTCCTTGGTATATAATGCTAATCTTTTACCATTACATTTTTTGAAAACATTCCCATATATATATATATATATATATACAATCCAATATTGAAGCGATAATGAGTGTCAATCGCTGGCGTTTTTTTATTACAAACTCTTTACGAGATTATTAAACTCGTGTAAACTAGTGTCGGGTCGAGACAAGAGTTTTCATAAATTTGCAGTACATTTGTTCAGAAAGTGTCCGGTAAACTGGACCCGACACGTTGGTGATAATGAGAGTGTATTTCACAAGCGTTACCCCCGAACATTTGTTTATTTTTTTAAATTTATTTATTCATCCATATTTATACAGGTACACAAGATCAGAAATAAATCTGTTTTACATATTGGACCTGGTATTAAAAGCATAGTATAAAAAGTAGTAACAATGAGAATTCAGTATTCAGAATTCAAGTATAACAAAGTAAAATACAGAATAAATACAAAGTAATACAAAATATGGTAACATAACAATTCAGGTCCATAACAAAAATGATTATAAATATGAATGGTGGCTACATATAACAATATCAAGTAGAAGTTAAAAGAACAAAAATATAGTCATATATGCAAATGCAAGGTTTAAGCTTAGAGGTTGGGGTCATTACAATGGATTCGATTTTGATTTTTTGTACAATAATTTGAAAATATCCAGAGACTGAGCATTTTGAAAGTTATTTGGTAATAGATTCCATACTTTAGCACCGGAATATTTGTAGATTACGACTTGAGTATTTACGAAAGTTAGTGTAACCCAACGAAGCGGTTAAGATCCGCTGGAACGAAATAACCACACCTTTAGTGGTTAACCTATGTTTAAGTGGATGAACAGGGGGTGGGGGGTAGGCCTTATGTGCCCCTGCCGACGCGTATAGTTAAAAAATAATACTTTTCCCCCCTTTAAAGGTCTTCAATGGCAATAGTGACCAAGACACTGTGGTAAACAACACGCTGCCCGTGCCTCAAGTCTGTCGCTATATCCGCCTGCTACCCCTGACCTGGCATGGTCATATCAGCCTCCGTATGGAACTTTATGGAACGGCTCTCGTGACAGGTAAATTTCAAACAAAACCTTTCAAATAAAATGTTTTGATTTATTATTTTATTTTTAACATTTTATCACGCAAACCAATGGGTATCGCAGCAAGATTTTATTATTTTCCCGGTAAATGCACTTTTGCCGGGATTTTACTCTTGGACTATTAATCGGTTTAGGCATTTTTCGTTTCTTTACGGGAATGGCTTAAATCACGACTGCAATTTCGACCAATCAGATGGCTGGATTAAGTGAGGTATATAATAAATCGATGAATCATAACCTGTGCTGCCGAGATGACTATAGAAACAAAATTAAATAGTTTTACTGAAGTTGAAAAAGTCATGACATTGCCTTATTTCTTAACGTTTCAGTAAGTGAATGTATTTACGAGCTTAAATTGGTATGATATCTTAAAAGACTTTGAATTAAACCCGATTTATAATTTTCGAGAGAAGTCATTAACAAACCGTCAAATAACAGGTGTTAGCTGTAGATAGTCCTAAAGAAACATTCTTTTGTTTGGCACTTAGGAACACGGGCGTCAATGCATTCATATTGTTCTGTTTACAAGTGTAGTTTTAGTATTATAATTGTTATTACTTAATCATTACTACTACTAATACTAATACTAATACTACTACTACTACTACTACTACTACTGCTGCTATCATATTCATCCTCATTACCATCATCGTCATCTTTGTATCATTATTTAGGCACACATAAAACTTTTGAGGCTGATAAAGCCGTCGACTTTGAGACCAAGTCCGTAACAGGCGACAAGACAGTGAGCGTTGCCTTTGCTAAATTCTTTGCAGTTGGAGGTAAGAGTGTTTGGTTTGTTGTTGTATTCTTTCCCTTCATTAGAATTGCAGAAAGAGTTTTCTATTATATTCAAAATTATAAATCAGTTTGCACATAGAAAACATTACAAATGAATTGTAAAACATTAGTACATTTTCATATTACATGATTCAGACGACAGTATTTGTAAAGAAAAATCTTAACATATAAATCAAGTCTACTGTAATTATTGTTTTCATAAGTAAAATTTAGAGTTCGGTTTTGTTTGTAACATCTTGAGAGAAAAATTATTTTATTTCATATTTCGTCGTTCGAAATTACATGAGATCCCGCCAAGCGCATGCGCAGTCAATTCGCCGCGCAATTGATTTTCACCGGGAAAGTTATTTTCCCTCAGCAGTCAAAATACCTAATTTTCGGCGTTTTTTTCGGACCAGCGGTTTCGAAAAAATACTTCATTAGGGAGAGAAACTCTCCTTTTTCATGTTTTTGGAAGACTTTTGAGAATCTGTGCTGTTTACATAAAAAATCGAAGTTTTGTTCCGATTTCCACGTACACGATGGCGTCTCCGTCAGGCAGCACCAAGCAGAAAACCAGCGAAACGCTGAGCACGGCTAAAGCCGGAACTTCACCGGGCGAAACCGCCGCGGGCCCCTCTACGAAGCCTGAGCCAAAGCGCTCATCGGCAGTGAAATCCTCCGATACGAAACGCAAAAGTGTCTTGGCAAAGCCTGCCCCGAATGAGTCTAAGAACTCTGGGCCTAAAAAGAAGGGCAAAAAGCCTGAAGAAAAGGAGGACTTCACGGATTTACGAGGAAGACTTGACAAATTGGAATCCTTAATGGAGAGAATGGTGGATTTTTTGCCTTGTCAATCTGCAACTCGCCCCACAGGGGATACACCACCGACAGCATGTACAGCTGCGACGAACGTGAGATTTCTTCAAGTTGAACATGATGATGATGATTTTGAGCATATTGACACTGGAAACATGGGCCAATGCCCTACGTCATATGACATTGGCAGCATGGATGAGGGTGATGTCAACGAAACTGTTGCACCAGGTTTAGACCAGGAGAATGAGGACAAAGTTCCCGCCCTAGCTGGCTCAGAAATTTGCTATCCCCACTGGGGTAGGTGGCGTGATCCACGATGATTTAGCAAAGTCTGCCATGTACCTCATGTCCCACTAGCTAGAGGAAAATGTGTTGGAGGAAGCTGGAGGGAAATACCCTCCTCCAAGCAATTGTACTCCACTGTGTTGCCCCAAAGTGAATGCAGCAATATGGGAAAACCTATCCTCGCACACGAGAAGCCGTGATTTGAAACTGCAAAGAATCCAAAAGCCTTTGACAAGGGGACTCACAGCTTTTATTCAAACTCTGTCCCCCGATAGCCTATCTGAGACACAACAGGATGCATTGGCATTGCTGTGTAACACAAACTTTGAAATCAACTGCTTACGCAAAGATCAGATTAAGCCAGACTTAAATGCCAAGTACTCACATCTATGCAAACCTGCCACACCAGTGAGTCAGTACTTATTTGGCGATGACTTAACAAAGAGAGTCAAAGATCTTACAGAACAACAAAAAGCTGCATCTGGCGTGGTGCGTGGACAACGTATACACCCCGCCCCCAGTACCATCCGTACAGGACGCAAGCGTCCAGCACTTTTCAATACCGCAGACAAGGATGGAACCGTGCCACCGGCACATCACAAACTTTTCCAAGTAGCAGGCCCGCAAGTGGGAACTACAACAGGCCCTTTTTTAGGCCAGCGAACCCAACGAGGCAGACCATATAGAGCTCCGCCACACACCCAGACGATGAGCATGGAAAACAGACCCAATCCTTCCAGCGGCCACAGGCAGCAAGGAGGAAATAGCTACACCATTACCCAAAGAGGTAGTAGCACATATGAATATTTTGAGAATGTTAAGATTAATGCTCCTTCTACTTCATGTACATTACAACAAGAATGCATCTCAAATGTGCCTGTTGGAGGTCGATTGATATATTTCTATCGTAGATGGCGTGAATTAACGTCAGATCTATTTCTGCTATCAGCAGTGCGAGGCTATGAGATCGAATTTGATTATTCGAAAGGGGTTCCCTCAAGAAATAAGCCCCTCTATGGTTACAAAAAGAGCCCTTTAGAAATAAATCAGATTACTAAAGAAATCTTGGCTCTACAAGCAAAAAACGTAATAGAACCTTGCTCATTTGAAGAGGGAGAATTCATCTTCACGAGACCCAAGAAAGATGGGGGTACTCGTATGATCGTATGATCTTAGACTTATCAGAGCTTAATCAAAGTCTGAACGTACAACACTTTAAGATGGATAACATCCACAATGACAAGCACTTGATTTCTCCGCACTGTTAACTTGCATCAATCGACCTCCAAGATGCTTATTACTCCATTCCAGTAGACCCAAATAGTAGAAAATACTTGAGGTTCATGTGGCAGGGTGAGCGCTGGCAATTTGCAGCCTTACCTAATGGGCTCAGCACAGTCCCCAGACTGTTCACAAAATTGCTGAAGCCAGTCTTCGCCGAACTGCGACAAGCAGGTCATACAGTCATAGGATATTTGGACGACACCATAATTATTGGTGAGACAAAAGAAAAGCTTAAAGAGAGTATGAATGCAACAACCAAGATCCTCTCAGAATTAGGATTCCTCATTCACACTAAAAAATCAGTGCTCATCCCAACACGTGAACTACGTACCTCCCATCAATACAAGTGGTAGCACGAGTGATTGGGAAGGTCATAGCAACTTTCCCTGCGGTTAAGTATGGCCCCTTATACTATAGATCAATGGAAAGGGACAAAATTGCAGCCCTCAGACAAAACAGGGGTCATTTTGACAGAAAGAAAAAAAAAACCTGACTTAGAATTGCACACAGATGCCAGTGGCCTTGGATGGGGAGCTACTGACTTCCAGAAGCAAACAGGGGGTCGTTGGAATGAATTTGAGGCAGAAAGGGCAAGAAACAATGAAATAAATTTCCTGGAAACCCTAGCCGCTGGGTTGGGGATAAAATCCTTTTGCATGAATAAGCGTAACGTTCATGTGATGGTAAGAATAGATAATACCACTGCAGTGGCTTATTTAAATCACATGGGAGGTTGCAAGTCCGCAAATTGTGACAAGATGTCGAGAGAAATTTGGCAGTGGTGCATTTCTCGAAATATTTGGCTCTCCGCAGCCCATGTACCTGGTCGGTTCAATACTATAGCAGATGAAAGATCCAGGAAATTTAATGATCGAACAGAATGGAAACTAAACAGACAAGTGTTCGATAGAATAGTTTCCCACTTTGGTGTACCAGAAATAGACCTGTTCGCCTCAAGACTAAATGCTCAAGTAGAGAAATATGTCACTTGGCACCCAGACCCTGGGGCTTTTGCAGTTGACGCATTTACGCTAGATTGGAAACCTTTTGCATTCTATGCATTCCCACCATTCTGTATGATCCCCAAATGCTTGCAAAAAATCAGAGAGGATAAAGCTAGAGGGTTACTTCTGGTCCCTAATTGGCCTACTCAGGCGTGGTTCTCTCAGTTGGTTAGCATGATGGAAGGAGAGCCATTGTTTATCCAGAGGCAAGAAGATTTGCTACTCCTTCCTGTGTTAAACACCACCCACCCTCTTAATGCTAATATTGACCTCTTATGTTGCAGGTTATGCGGCAACACTTTTAGAATCGGGGACTAAGCAGATGAACAGTGGATATCATTACAGCTTCATGGAGAGCATCAACCTGCAAGCAGTACCATTACCTCCAAGCCGAGGTGGAAACGGTACTATAATTCCTTAGTAGTTCATTTCATGACAGGAACCTTAGCTACAGTGCGTAGCGCTTTATCCACTTTTCTGATTTTCGTTGACAGTAATCAGACAATAAGTACTCACCCACTTATAACCAGACTGATGAGAGGTGTTTTTCAACTGAGACCTGTCTTACCTAGATATACAGAAATATGGAATATTAGTCCAGTCCTCAATTTTCTAAGAAAATTGTCTCCAGTAAACTCCTTAAACCTCAGAGATTTAACACTCAAAGTATGTATGCTAATGGCTCTTGTATCGGCACAGAGAGTGCAAACCTTGCATATATTGAAGACTAACAAGATGACCCTGAAAGGGGGCTTTGTGGTTTTTCATTTGGATGAACACTTGAAGCAAAGCAAACCAGGAAATACCAATTATAAGTTTAAATTGGAAGCATATCCACCTGATAGAAGATTGTGTATTGTAAAATATGTGAAACATTATGTCCAGCGCACAGGACCACTTCGTGGGAATTAGAACTCGTTCTTTGTAAGTTACACCAGACCTCATAATAGAGTAACAACTCAAACCTTATCTCGCTGGATCAAGACCTGCTTGCTAAGAGCAGGTGTGGATACAAACGTTTATAAGGCTCATTCAACACGGGCAGCATCAACTTCAAAAGCTGCCAAGGCAGCACTTCCAATGGACCAGATCCTAGCCCGAGCAGGATGGTCTTCAGAGAAAACGTTCAGGAAGTTCTACATGAAACCTTTTTGAAAACAAGAGAAACTTTACCCAGGCAGTCTTACAAGATAGCACACTGCTTTAAGAACTGCATCAGAAGGCTTTCAATAGAACTGGCATTAAGAGAACAGCTGTCTAATTAATAGAACTGGGATTAAGAAACCAGATGGCTAGAATAACTAGATACAGAAACGAACAATGTTTTTGCAACATTATGACGTCTTATATATGGACGTCTTGTATGTGATATGTTTTGCCACATGTATGAACAGACTACAATAACTGTCAAATATGGTGAGTCATTGATTAGAAGCATTCAATTCAATCTGCATAATCAGTGTTCACTTTCCATACATGTTGGTTGTTCCAAATGTGGCTACTATGCTTCAAAATCTCATGTAATTTCGAACGACGAAATATGAAATAAAATAGTAAGCTTAAACGAGAACTTACCGTTTGAAGTTTGATCTTTATTTTATGAATATTTAGGAGGAAGTTATTACATGCCCTCCTCCCCCACCCAAACTTCAAACTTAAGTGTAAGTTCCCTGTTCCTTACTATTGAGAGTAGCCACATTTGTAGCTTTGAATATTGACTGCGCATGCGCTTGGCGGGATCTCATGTAATAACTTCCTCCTAAATATTCATAAAATAAAGATCAAACTTCAAACGGTAAGTTCTCGTTTAATCTTACTAATTTTATTAAGAAAACGGGAAAAAGAAGAGTAGAAACTAGGGAGAAGGTGCTATGAAAAAATAAGTCTGTAAACGTAACACGAATACAAAGACCTTTGAAAATTAACTCAAGAGTGTTTCAAATATAATTTTGCATATCTGATAGAATCTTGTTCGGATTACGTAATCCGTCATTGCTTGCTAAGGTAACTAGTAAATATGTCAATAATTCATTTCAGTTCACTTTACATTCATTGGTATATGATATCAGTCTCAAATAATTATGAGGCATCGAAAACCACGTCAATCAGTGACGCAATCCTACGTCAGGCAAATAAAGCATCATGTGCTAAAATTAGTCCTCCGTCCCCCTACGTCAAAAGGTTGCGTCCTACCTGTGTCATTAGGTAATTTTCGCAAACTCATTGCGGAATTAGAATCTGCGGTTTGTGTGCAAAATCGAGAAGTTACTTTAGTAACAGTTGGATGACCGATGAGGCCCTGAAGTCTAGAACGGGTTTTGGCCAAATCTACGGGCGTTCTCAATGACGCCCCAAGTAAATGAAGTGCCTCGATACAAACTATTTCATTCACCTGATAATAATAATAGTATTTAAATAGACAGAATCCAATCTGCATACATTAGTTGTTGCTACACTTAATATATGCAGTTTGCATTCTGACTATTGTGAATCCTAGACAGGTGAATGAAATAATTTTTATTGAGGAACTTCACAAAGACGGATGTATTAAATTTGATTACATTACGAAAATGGCCTGTTCCCTTCCACGCAATACACTACAGACGGGACAACACGACTAGCACAACTTGTCTCGACCAAGCCACAAAACGGCTTTTTATCAAATTTCAACAATTTATCATCAAGTTTTAAAACAATTCATGTTATATCCATATTCATGTTGTTATTGTTCAGAAACAATAATCTGAAGAAAACAAAATCACCGAAGAGTCATTCGTGTCAGGGGCGGATCTAGGGGGTTAGGAGTTTTAAATTCCCCCTTGGACTGGCCAAGGTGCTTTCTACCCCCCTCCCCCCCCCCCCCCCCCTCCAAAAAAAAAAATTAAAAAAAAATAAATAAAAAATAAAAAAAATTTAATTTATATTGGTTGGCACTTTTTTTGAAATTGAAAACAAATTTTAGTGCTCCCTACCCCCCACTAAGCGAAATATTGGTCGGTGCGATTTTTCAAATGTCAACCGGCCGTAAACCTGAGTGCTCTGCGTCCGCGAAGGTATGTCCGTTGCTGAGCGAAAACTCGCTATTGTGCATGAGTGCCTGAGTGGCAATGTTTGTGCCGCAATAGACAATTAAGTTTCGCTCTACTGCTTATTATGGTGGGAGTACCATAGTGTATGGGTGGTTATATTAGGGACTTTTAGATTTGCACGAAGAGAACGTGGATTGCTAAGATCGACGTTCTTTTAATGCACTGCCTTGAATGGACGTCACAAGTATCAGTCCACACAAATTTAAAAGTCCCTATTGCTCCTGAGGCTCATACGCTATGGGATTAAAAAGAAAACCATTTAAGTACCTTGGTTTCTGACGCACTGCCCTTGGGTATCTACCGTGGTATTATCGACTTTGTGACCCTCTCACATGACTCTGTAGATCAAATAATTTTCAGATATGCATAGGCCCGAATTCACAAGGGGGTTTAAATCTAACCCATGGTTTAAACCGGTTTAGACCATAGGTTAACCCATGCGTGGTCATTTTGCAATTTACAAGGGAGGTTAAGATTGAACCCACGTTTTAGCAGCGTCACATGACGTCATATTTTAGCACCCGGCGAAATAGAAAAGAACTAAGGCTTGGCCACTGATCACTACAAAAAGTAGAGCAGCTGGAGGCGCTTAGCGTGCGAATTTGTTAATCATTCCATATATAGAATTTTTCATTTCATTTCACTTCTCATAAAAAAAACATGTAACTATTTACATACAATATCTGATTAAACACAACAAAACAAAACAAGAAAATAACATAACAATATTAAAATAATTTTAAGGACCTAGAACTTATACTTAAGACTGTGGTGGAGCCAACAAAGGCCATTGACCTGTCAAGGGCTGGTCTCCAGGAATAAATTAATAATATATAGGTAGGCACAGAACATAGTTTAGTACACAACAAAAGGAAAACAGGCGGTCTGTGTGAAGGAAATGTATACACAAAGAATATTTGAGCATAAATAATTCAGGTGGTGTAGTAATTATTTTGAACAAAATCAACATATTAAAGCATTTCAAAAGGCATTGTTTATATTTGCCTTTGAAAGAGGCAAGCGGTGGGCTGTTTTTTTTATGTCATCAGGTAATGAATTCTATAGTTGAGGTCCCAAGTGTCGGACAGTCTGTCTGGACGACTCATACTTTAACAATTGCACACGTGGTCTATTAGAATATCTGTTATTGTACTGATGCATTTCAGAGTTAAACATGACCATATTATTAAAAACTTCAGGCAGCAAGTTGTTTAAATATTTGTACATAAATAATGCAGTTTGCAATTTACAAATAAATAATCGATATTATAACTATAATTATTATTATTCCCATTATCATTATTAAGATTATTGTTATTGCTATTATTACTACTACATCTACTATATTTATCAACATCATTATCCTCATTACCATCATCATCATCTTTATATCGTTTTTAGGCACAAATAAAACTTTTGAGGCTGATAAAGCCGTCGAATTTGAGATCAAGTCCGTGACAGGCGACAAGACAGTGAGCGTTGCCTTTGCTAAACCCTTTGCAGTCGGAGGTAAGAATGTCTGGTTGGTTCTTCATACTTGTGTATTATTTCCCCTCATAAACAAATTGCAGAAAGAGTTTTACGGCCATTATATTCAAATTGTAATTAAAAATCGATTTTAAAACATGAGTACATTTTCAAAATTACATGATTTAGATCATAATTTTGTAAAGCAAAATCTTAAAATCTATATCCGGTCTATTGTAACTATTGTTTACATAAGTAAAATTTGCAGTTCCAGTTTTTGCTAGATCAAGAGAGAAAAGTTAATTATTCAAAGAAAAAGAAAGAAGAAATAGATGATAAGAAAGTGGGAAGAAGGTCAGTGGTAATTTACATGAATTGTAATTTTGACATTGACAGTCGTTTATTTGTGCGAATTTTATATTTGACTCTATAACTAACTTTTGTTATCCTTTGCTGACATGTTAGGATTTTATGAGTAATGTTGAAATTGAATATGAAATTTGATAATAAATTTATGTTACGGTGACAGCCATCGCTACACTATCTACAACTCATCAGCGAGTTACACTGCTAAATTTGCTACTCCTTCTCTTTAACTCTCTCTGTTCCTCTCCCTCCCTCTCTCTCTCTCTCTCTCTCTCTCTCTCTTTCTCTCTAGTTTCATTCCTGTTATCTTATGATTATCTGTATGCGCTTTAGAAACATGGTAATAAACGCTTCATAAATGTTGCAAATTATTATGTGTATATACAGTATCCCATACTGTGTCATTGATATTACAGTGACCGCCCTCACCACTATCTACGATCCGGGTGTCAGTGCTAAGGAGAATAACAACGTTGTTGAAGGCGTTGGTGATCATACCGATACGAAGCTTGTCATCAATTCCATTGTCCTCGACATCGTCCTCGTCGACGAGCACGGAGTACAGATCGTTCTCGGTAAAGATGAAGAAATACTCCTGACATTCGCGTCCAGCGAACCGGTGAGAGAGAAGTGTTATTTCGTCTAATCTGTATTTATTTTGACGTTTATTGTTTTAGTTTATGTATCATTGTTATGGGAATCTAATTTCGTAATATTTACATTTTTTTATACAAATGAAATTGATATTATATAACAAGTAACTTGATAAATTGTGGATGAACGTCATAACAACACTTTTCTTTCCATTCTTCTTCTTCTTCGGTATATTTTTCAGCCTGGAATTCTAGCTCAACTAGCTTTCAATTCAGTAGGCTAGATTAAACGGTTGATAATCTGTTCATATATAAATGCATGTACATATTAATGGGAGTAAACTTGGAAATTTGAATATACATCACCATCTAAAGACAAGACTCAGGATCAACATGGACCCTGTTTCATTAAGCTTGCTATTAATAGCAAAGTTCTAGTAAAGGTAAAAGCTACTAAATTCAATACGTTTGATAGGGTGAGAGCAATTTATTTCTAGAATAGGCTATTTTCGTAATGTAACTAAATTCATGCATATGCCTGTGTGTAGCGCCACGATACGAGTTATTTCATTCACCTGTTAGCAATACATGTATATCAATGTACATAATTTAATTTGCATACATTAATTGTTACTTCTAGTACAAACATTATGGCTTGTCCTATCTAGCAACATAAACATGTGAAATTTGCATTCTGACTATTGAAAACAAATTATTCGTAACAGGTGAATGAAATACTTCGTATCGAGGGACTTCAGAATAAAGTTGTTTGCATTACGAAAATGGTCTATTTCGGCACTTAATATTGATGATTAGATTTACAAAAAAAAAGGATCCCTGGTAATGGGAAAAGCAGGCCGGAAAATAGACCCTCATGGTCTTAACCAACAAATCTGTGCAAGTTTCATCTTTTATTTCATTTCTAGGGAGGATTCAAGGAGAGAATTTGCCGGTATTATGATGAAGACGTGTCCAAGTAAGATTTCGCAATTTTTTTCAACCACACCCTAATCTCTCTGTGGAGGTGTCGTGGTATGGTTCATTAACTTGACACTCAATTCAAGGGTTGAGGGTTTGAAGCTCAGACCGACACTAACGTCTTTCTGCAAGATGTTAATCCACGTTTGTCACTTTGGTACCTGGTAATCGCTGGGGTAATAATAATTGCAGGGCCCTCAGGAAGATTACCATTGAAGCTGATCGATGAGGCTTCCTGGGTAAACATTAATATTAGTATCATTATTATTATCGTCATTATCTTATTAGATATTACATTATTGTTTGAGAGGGCCGAGAAGTAAAGCATTATGAAAATGGTAGCTTAATGATTTTACCGTGATTGCTTCAACCATTATAATGTTGGATTCAGCATGTTATCATATATATTAAATCAACTATTTTGAAAATTGTTTCACTCTTCAGTTCTTTTGAGTGTTGATTTAACACTAAAGCTTTTAGAATGCATTTGAAGTTTAGATTTCCTTATTTTTTTTTATTTTTCTACCTGATATCGTTTGTTTATCATTTAAAAACTCGTTTCAAATCGAAGTAATGAATCATAAAACAGTTTAAATTGAAAAATTTCTTCAAAAACAATTTACTTACGTTTTCAGGAATTAGATTTGATTCGACTTTCACTTTTTTTTTAACAATTCAAGCCCGGACGACTGTTGTGTATCAGACAATTTGTCATGAATCAACAATATATTTTTCAATTGCACGTATCATTCTACGAGAGGTAAATCAGGCCAGGCTAACACAGATTGGTCATGAAAGTTGCGTTAACAAAACGGTAAACTATGGTAAACGTAACCTCCAGGGTAGGATTTCACTCGCTGAGTAGAATTGGTCTAAGATGGCAAGAAAACACATACATTTTTGACACATTCCTTTTTAACTCTCTAAAAAACAAAAAAAAATCTCTAGATGGTCTCGTTTTGGCTGCTACGTTCAAACCTCCAACACAAGTGTTGTCACTTGCGCGTGTAACCATACCACCAGTTTCGCAGTGCTTCTACAGTTTGAGGTATTGTCATTATTCTTTTAAGACATGTAGACCTCTCACTCGACAGTGAAATATAGGTGATCAATTATAGCGTTACACGAACTAAATTCTAGATTTAAAGCCTAGAACATGGGCCATATACTTGGATCTGAATATCAATTGGATTTAGAACTAGAATTTTATTTTTAATTCGAATAAGTGCATCAGTTTGCATTTAAAGTTGAATTGAATTTGAATTGAAATAGCTGTTTAATTCAAAATTGAATTTGAATTTAATGGTTTCTACGTTTTTTTTTGTAGTACAGTAGAGAGAGTTAACAGACCACATCCTAAACTTTACGTATTAAGGCCCATGCAGTCACAGCCCAAGCCCTTATCCCATACATTTTACAAATTTAAAAACAGGAATTGTTCCTGGACATTTTGTCGGTGACACTGTCGAAGGATCTTTCTTCCTTTCTTCGTTTTTTTTTATTTTTTGCAAACACAAAATCGAATACAGGATTGTGCGATTGACGGTGCCAACCTTCAGATCCAGACTTTAATGACTCGAATCTTCAATTCCATCTCCATCTTCGCCCTCTTCCTCTCCGTCATCATATTCACCTATCTCAAGTAAGTTCATCCATTTATTACAGGTTTTGAAGACTAGTGGATAAGTCTCTGGACTGCGAACCACGTTGTACAGGGTTCGAATCAATGTCGCAGCACCATCATATTCGGCAAGACATTTGCTTCATTCATCTTTTATCACATTACTCAGTCGGTGACAGACATGCATTCAAAATAACACATGCAACCCAGGACGAAGCCTTGACCTGAGCAGGACATCACAGATAAATATGACATTAATTGTCACAAAGTTTGAGATACAGGCAAACCTATCTTAGTAGCAACCTATCTAGAATAACCACAATTACCACACTTTTTGTGTCTCACATAGGCGGCCTTTATAGACAGGTTTGATTATATATATATATATATATATATATACACATATATGTTACCTTCGGCAGAATCATCGCTTCCAGATTTTGGGGTCCAATGTTCATATCATAATTTTAAATCGAGGATTTATTATCGATAAATTGATTGGATTTCATTGGATTGGTTTTGAACTGTTGGTGAATAAAAAAAAAATTTGGTCAATAAATTGATTTCCTTAGATTCATTCAGACATTTATCTCTCATTTAAGAGGCGGGACACCCTGACAGTAAAATCCTCTTTCAAAAAAGGATCTATACAAGTTCTGATCTAATTTAATTTCTTTGATACATCGCGGCCCCGTCATATAAAGAATTTTGATTGACTTGAATCAATCGAAACTTGAAATTAATTTTAACTGCTATCTCTTAAGTACGCAGTTGCGATTGACGCAAATCTTTATAATAGAAGGCCCTAATTTGATTACATTTGCTTAAATGGTGGTACATTTCTGACCGGGTCAATGTTCCAACTGTCTCGCCATAAAGATAACACGAAACTGACGATTTACTATTTATACATTTTTTTTTGACGTGATTTAATTCGATTTGACATGTTGGTTGTGTAATTCCAACTAAATTAAGATTCTTGTTTGCCTCTACTCGAAGAAAATTCAAAATTTGGAGTTCATTGTTTATTCATTGATTTGATTTAAATTAATTTTAATGATTTGACCTGTAGATTGTACACCTCTGACCAGGTCAAAGTTCACATCTGCCTTGCCATCTCACTGGCCTTGGCCCAACTGGTGATGCTGTTTATGGGCCAGACCGAACATAAGGTAAACAAATAATAGGTCGCCATTGACCAAGTAGGCCTATTGAGAATATGTCCGAGTCTACGGAAACAACTTGAGCACATTTTTTAGAACATTGCCTCTGAACATTAACTCATGCTTAACAGCTAAACCACACGGGACCTCTAGGAGAGTTCCCGGATGAATACCGGAATAATAGTAATCATAATCATGATTAAAAAAAAACAATGATCATAATACCAATAAATCAAATCAAATCACATCAATTATAATGATATTAACGATAGTAATTACCAAATGCCTCCATGACAATCACCCATGCCAGTTCGCTTACCATTAACTTTCCCCAAAACTTGTACCCAATCTCCAATACAATATCCATTCTGGACAACTTTGCCAGAAACATTTACCCATGATGTCTGGGACAATAAACCATACCGGACAATGGTGTTTATTGATAATCTATTTTTTCTTCTCAGAATAACACGTCTTATTAAAGAAATAAAATAACTATGTCTACCTATTACACACCCATCCAACACCAAAGGGTATCTGTCGGGCCATAGCTGGTATCATGCACTATTTGTTGACCGCTTACTGCATCTCAATGATCCTTGAAGGGACACTGCTTCACCGCAAGGCCTCCCGGACTCACAAGGCCCCAGCCAAGGGTTGGGTGATCTTACTCTGCGTTTGGGGTAAGGATTGGTAGTAATTAATATTGGTAGAGGGTGGTGGTGATGGTGGTGGTGTTGGTGGTGCTACATAGCCTCTCAGCAAGGCATCTCGTACCCACAAGGCCCAGTCAAGTAGTATTTGATTTGCGTCTGGGATAAGGATTGGAAGCATAACTGGTGGTAGTGATAGTGTTGGTTTTCTTGGTAGTATATGATAGTACCATTAGGCCCCAGCAAAAGGTTGGCTCATTAAGAAAAAAAGCGAATACGCTCATGGGAACACGTACTATGACCACTTTTGTTCAATCATTAAAAATGCAATTGGGCGTTGATTCATAAATGAGAATAATATGGACTCTGTTTTTCTTTTCCCCAATAGGCATTCCATGTGTGATGATAGCCGTAATGATGGGAAGTGTCATTGATGGCTATGGTGGTGAATGTGCGTAAGTATTTACTAGAATAACGACTGGTATTCAAAGTAAACCAATTAAAATCCTGGGCCTTGTCTCATAAAAAGAAGTGCGATTGATCTGGATTGATTGCAAGTCATCCAATCAATCGCAAACTTGCAAACTTCTAAATCTTTAGGACAGATTTGAAACTGAAAGAAAGTTTAAATATTTGGTATAGATGAAAACAATTATTTATGAGCTTTTCCATTCTTTGTTTATTACGTTAGAAGAAGAACCTAGTAGAAATGCCTCTGAAAATTGTGTCATTCAATGTCCCCAAATTGAAACTATGAGGTGAATTTGCTGGAAGGTATAAAACAAACCAACTAACTTGTTGTTAAAGTCTTTTTTATTCCGTTAAAACATCTCATACATATTACAAATTAAAATTAAACACATGTATTTCAAATATATCATTATCATAATACAAAATGATGAACCATATATTATGAGTAGAAACCGAGAGTATGGATAAGAAATAACTATTAAAAAACAAAGACTGTCACATGTGTGCATGGGTGTAGTCCCATATTGACATTTCTGTATGTAGTGTATTTGATTCTTATTAACCTAAAAATCTACATTGGAATGTACTGCATAATCAACCTTTACAAATTCTTTCCAATCAGTTTCTTTCACAATGTAATAATGATAACGCAACTAGTAGTCAACTTTATTTGTAACAATTTTGAAATGCATCACCTTTCTTTTCAATAGCTGCTGGTTGAACGTGCAATACGGAACCATGTGGATTTGGCTTGCAGAGGTGTGTCTTGTCGTAGCGGTAAGTAGTATACCAAACGGAGGTACAGATACTCTAGTTAAAGTAGATATTCATTGACTTAAAAACTAACTTAATTTTCATGATTGCAACGTTGAAACTTTGATTCGACAAGGTTATCAGAATTCAATGCTTAGAAACATTCGAAGTAATGATTATTATAAATTACAAAATGCTTAAATACAGCCCCGGCATAGCACCTGCAGAGCTCTCCGAACGCTGCTGAGATGCGTAATATCACAGTATGGACATGATTTGCACAAATAGACGATGTCCCATGACATCTCACACATTTTCAGTGCCTGTGTTTTCATCTTATCTTGAGTTTTTTCTCTTACTTCACTACCGGCAGGCTAAATGTATAATCTATTGCCTCATTCTAAACCCGCGCATGTTTTTATTTTGATGACAAATGCAGCGATACAAAAATAAAGGAATTGTCGATTGTAAACAAAATAATACTCCATTGTATATTCAGCTGCACACACCGCGGTATGTTCGGCGTTTCAAGAGGGAATAAATGCCGTCCTTAATATCATTCCGGGGGGGGGGGTTCAATTTGAAAGTCTGGTTTCTTTGATTGTTAATTAACCCCTATCTTGTGTATTTACAAGCAAAATATTTTACTTATCAGAATCGGGTCATATCCCCTTTTGAATGGTTTGACATGCCATTACATTTATATATACTAAACTCATTATAATTTGACAAATATTAGCTTTGCAATTATGTTCATTCTTTATGGGATGTCGTCTGCTTGGGCAGTATTGGTCCATATAGTGACGTCATTAAAACATCGTTATTTTTCCGGCGAATCTATCGTATATCCCAGCTATATGGAGGTGGTTGTATTTGTATTTATATAAATCACCCGATATGTAGTTGACCTAAACCTTGTACGATGTCCATCTGTTAGCTTACCATTTTCTAGTGATACATTGGTTGACATAATTGTGATTTTCTTTGAATTTCACCTTCAATGCTTGGTTGTTGTTGGGAATATTCCAGTGGTCGAGACCCAGGGTATTTGGTTTTAGTGTCTCGAGTAAATATAGCACATGTTCATTCCATATCCGGCCCAGTTTAGAACAGTCTAGTGTTACGGCACGTGCATTTCAAAGGAAAGGCAATGACTTCATCACCAACCTTTAGTAACAAGTGTCCTCTGAAAAGAACATCACGTTCGACAAGCCGGGAGAAATATAATTCAATTCAATATAATGTATTTCTACTTTTAAAACAATTTTACAAATCAATAACCAATAGTATATTTGTAAAGCGTTTCATGTAGAGACATTTGTATTAAGCGCTATATACAAATTAAATATTATTATACTATATTATACATATGAATAATAGTGGCAGGCTAATGAAAAGCACTAATTGGCTTATCAAAAAAGACCCCTCAACAAGTATACGCATTACATATTATACATTGTAAGAAAATATCAAAGATCATTAAAGAAATGATAAAGATTAAAAAAATGATAAGGAAGAAAAGATAGGAAATATTATAATTATAGCTTTGCCAGTAAACCAGCTGCGGAATTGGAAAACATGGTGTGTTTTTTATTCCCCTTCTGGCCAAAATAGATCTTGGACAAGACTGAGGGACAAATGTGGGCCGAACATATTGTCCAAATATCTAAGGATGACGTGTATGCACCGAGGAAGGATCGAACCGGGACTTCTCATAATTATGTTAGTCAAGAGCCTTCACAACATACCACAGTGCTATAGTTCATTCTGAGTTGGATGTAAATATTATTGAACATTTGGGCAACAGATCGATGAATCTTTTAGCCGATATTGATTTATTTAAAAACGTACTAATATTTCATTATGTATATTTCTTTGCGATGGTTACAGGTTAACACCGTTCTCCTGTCTCTGATCATGCGCACATTTATCTCTCTCAAGGCGAACACAAAGAAGAGCGAAACTGACAGACTCAAGTAAGTCAAGAACTGTAACTAAACAGGAGAAATACAAGATTACGCTTCTTTATGAAAGATTAAAGATTGAATTATATTTGTTTATGTTGAGGATTTCTTTACTTGACTGATGACAAGGTATGCATTTGCTTGTAAGTAAGGAACCGATGACTGACAGCTTTAAGTCTTTAACGGTACTTTCTTGACGTTTATTGAAATGGAAATGCTTGTTTTGTGCATGCCCATAAGACATATTTGCGTAATAAGTGAGAGCTTTGTTTCTGGTAAATGTTTGACTTTTTACCATGTTATCCGGAAAATCCGTGTGTAGAAGAAAAAAATAAGATAACGAAGATTTAAAAGCAGCGAAGCTGATATGTACAGGATGGTGTTCTCTTGGAGACGTTACATATAGTGCATTTCATTTGACAACTAGATGTGGAGTGGCAACATCAATAAATTTGCAATAGTAATAAAAGAAAATGAAGAATAATGATGTGGAAAATGATGAAAGATATGATTAGTACTACAAATTCGAAGAATAGCAACAAATACAGAAATACTAAAGATTTTTGTTTTGCATCCACCAGAGAAATTTACAAGAATGAACAGAAAGCCGGAATTGGATTATAAACGGAAACTAAAGGAACAAAGCGCGCAAAAAAACATGGGCTGTGATTGGCTGCCGGAAAGTAAACATAATACCAACCGTTTAATGAAAACGTCTTGTAGCAATGAATTATTATGCAAATTATATTAAGAAATAAGTATTTTGATGTCATTGTGTCTGGGAGGTGAAAAGGAACTGAACTACTTTAATCATCGTGTCTCTGTTCCCTGTATAGTGCAGAGGATTCTTAGCGTGCACAGGTGGTAACTCTCCTCTACACGATTCCTACATTTAAACTCCTATCCGACAGACGGTGGGCGTAGCAATATAACTGAAGTATATACATTATGAATTTGCAGGGCTACAGCTCGTGCTTTGTTGATCATGATGCCTATGCTGGGAATGACTTGGATGTTTGCTCTGCTACAAGCTTCGTTCAAAAATGTCTTCTTGCAGTGGTTATTCATCCTACTCAACGCACTGCAAGTAAGAACAAGCAAGCAGACAGACAAACAACTACAGAAACATCACATCAACAAACGACAACAACATTACAACACTACAACATATCAACATAATTTAATAACAGTTATGATGATATTAATAATAATACATGTATTAATAATAATGACAATAATAAAAGTAACAATAATGATATTAATCATAATTATGTTAACAATTATAAGAATGATTATGATAATAACATGTATGATTATGATAATAGAACAAGAAGAACAAGAAGTAACAACAACAACTACAGCAACAACAACAACTAGAAGAATAATATTTGAGCAAAATTTAAACATACATGTATTAAGATTTGGAATGGAAATAAAATCTGGGCAAGTTCCAAACCATAAATAATTAGAAAGATCTAGAAATCTAGAAGGAAGATTTAAACCTATACAAAAAATATCATCTTCGAGTTTCATGACGTTTCCATGGGATTACGTTTCTAGTATCGACATAGCTATATATTCATAGAGTTGAAGAACAAAAAAATTGCCTTGTTTTAATCAGGCTCTCATGTATGATGTCATCCCATCGATAATGCTCCTTTCACATTAAGACTATTGCCTTTTGTGTACAAACCTTTAATCCAAACAGTTAAAAGTTACACGTTTTTAAAAGTTGTTTTTAGTACTCTAATCAGGTAATAAACGTCTTGCCTCTATCTTAACCATCGTTTATTATCTTTGTTCGTAATCAGGGACCCGTGTTCTTCGTGTTTCAGTGCGTCATGAATCCAGAGGTGAGATACATTTAAACAAAACAAAAAACCTTTCTTCCTTCCTCTTTAATCGGGACTATGAAGCTTCATCACTTTCTCAACTATTTCTGGTCGTATTTCGAATATGAGGACATTATAAGAGCAATCCTTCTCAATAGTATATTTATATTACGATAATCCTCCTGTTTTTGATAGATATAATGAGAGAGCTCAGAAAGTTACATGTCACATCTTTACCAGAACTGTACCTTCTCTTTAATCTCAAGCTTGTTCAGATTATCTTATTTCATCATCCTGTCAAGTGATTTTGGTTTCCGTTTGCTCCGTCGTAAACAATGATGCGAAACGTCGTAAATCACAAGCTATGCAAGTTTAGTGAATCGACAGTTTTGATATGTATATAGACTTGAATCAAACAAGTGGCTAGCTACGAGGTATGTGTGTGTGTGTGCGCAGGGGGGGGGGGATTGCTTCCAATCGAATAGCAAAAAGAAAATTACAAAGAAAACCACGCATGCCCCTCCCCGATCAAAGGCCTTGTTAATTCACATGTTTCCATCTAATATAAATGGTGCTGACCCTACCCCCGATGGCTTTAACATTTTATAAATAGGCCCACATTAGCCAAATTATTCAAACAAATATTAAACAAACTATAAATATAACACATAACTGCCAGGTCTATGGTTGCGTGCACAGTGATTCCTGTATTGTCTTTAGTATTGACTTCAAATTTCACTCGTTTACGTGTGCGCGTGCGGGTGTTTGAGCTTGTGGGCGTATAGGCGTGTGGGTTTGTAAGACGTGTGAAACGGGGATAATCATATGTATACATAACTTCCAAGTGGGGATACCCTGGCAACTGGGGATATCCCCAGTTGATAATTTTCCTATTTATGCTAATTCTTTCTTATAAAAATGACCCGAGAGGAGTCTACTATCCTTTTCCTGAAAGAGTTTAAGGACATCTACATTTTCATAGTAGGACGCCACATTTTCGAGCGCCACTTTGTGTTTCATCTGAGATTTTAACATTCTGATAATTAAACAGCGCCTATTAAACTCATACATAAAATCAGGAGGCTAAATTCTTGTTACTCTTTGATATAATGTAGTTTTATTTATTTATCTGTCGTTTTAAAAAAAGGAATCTTTATAAAACCACCTCAAATCCCAATATCCCCAATTTCATAGTTGAAGATAGGTTAACATAAATATCCCCATTTGGCACATTTTACCTATAAGTGTGTGTGTTTTCTTTTCTTTGGGGGGGGGGGGGGCTGATTGATTAACGAACAAAGTAGTCATAATTTTGAAATAATTGGCGGAAGCCATATAGTGGCACGTATTTTATGTTTCCTATAATTACTTTTTATTATGTCATAACAAAAACATCTGTTAAAATTTACATCTATATTAATTTGTTGTGTGAAATCATGAAAGGATATGCCGAGTTTATCAATTCAAACGGTAAAAAAAATAATTGACACGGTAGTTTATTAGGGTATCACAAACGGCATGGCACTTAAACTTTCAATAATTCAACTTGAGGGCAACTGTAAATGATATTCGGATTATTATATTTTATCAATATTTGTCAATTCCTCTCCAAATCGACCCAAACTGACAGATTCCTAACTATTTGTCGTAATGTTAAATTCTTGTTCGGTAGGTTGTTGGTCTGGCGTATGTTATATGAATGTGACTGTTCAATGGCATAATCAGCAATTAAGAATATCCCATTACACTTTAGAATTGCATGATCAGTACAAAAAAAATCATTCTAACTATAAATGTCTCTAACCCATGAAAGATAAAGTTGTAACAGCTCGAGGTCTTTCTTATCCCCTTTTTTGTCAGATTGGGACAACTCAAGTTTTGTCAACTTGAGACAATCGCAGAACTTTCGAGAAAAAAAAATGAATTCCCTGTTCTTTATCCAATCAACAACAAAATGTTCAGATCACGAAATATGTCGTTGTAATCCTCGCCTTTAAATGGAAAACAGCTGTTGTTGACAAATCAACTAAATGGAGATTTAAATACACTAAATGTATATCCCAAGGAAATGATGTTTTGATATCGTAATACCTCATTGTTTATCTTTGCATATTCAAATATATGAAACGCAACTCTATTGAAATTCCTAAGGTTGATATTTCAATAGTAGTGGTTATCCTTTTGAAATATGACACGATAACCGTTAGCGTGTCATATTTCAAAAGGTGATGACTAACATTTAGTTGAGCTTAAGCTGATACTTCGAAAGTACTTGCGATCGCACTCATTTAAAATCCCATCCGATGAAAATAGAACTTGATATAAATGGGCTACTGAATGAATGAAGAATACAAAAATAAATGAACAAAAAGTATTTACCCTTTCATTATTGCACAAAAGCAAATTAATACCTCATTTCCCGCACCCGTTACGGGTCAACAGGGGTTGAATTTTCCGAAGATACAGTGACGACACAACACGTGGACCCAACCGGTTTACCTATATAGCTGAGGCGATGAGACGAGCTTAATTAATGCAAAATCATTGTGAATTTTCGTACTCCACATAAAATGATACCATCGAGTCCATAAGAAGTTTTTCGGTTGAAAACTGCCGCCTTTTCAAAACTTTAGATTTTAAGTTTTCAGAGAGCTGATAGTCTTCTGACAGACATTAAAATGGCATATAATTGATTTTATCGTAAGCTATGATTTATTAGCTTTCCGTTGATATATAATTAATCCATTTTATTTTTCAGTTCGGATATGTTCTTTAAATAAACAACACTAACATAATTAAATAATTGATTTCGCCATTAACCACCTGACAGGTCCAGAAGGTCATCGGCCGCAAGCGCAAGACAGGCGACTCGTCCAAGTGGGCAATGAAAACCTCGACCTCTGGCATTGGTCGAACCGAGTTAACGGGTATTTCTCATGCCACAGAATCCAAGCTGGGAGAAGTTCATTAAACACAATTCGTGGAACCGGTCCTCAAAACAATTACGTCATCTGGACAATTTTGTTAACCTGTAAGTTAGTCTATTAATTCATTAAACCATATTTGAAAAGGAGGGTTTAAAATAGGAATCATTAAATATTTTCAAGTTATATTGAGTGAAAATTGACTAGGTAATGAGGATTAATGCCTTACCAAAGGGAACTAGCGCATTCAGTTGAACCATTACGCCTATCATTTCATTTTTTAAACTATTAAACAAAAGTATGCGTATTAGATCTTCGATAATTAACAGACGGAGAGGTAGATAATTATCAAATTTAAGGAAAAAAATGTAAATAAATATGTAAATTATGTAAATTTCGTCCATTTTAAATGTACCGGAGATAAAATCTTCTCTTGTTGGAGTCATATACAGATTATGCCGTGTTAGTAGTGAAATCAACACAGAGACACACAGAGCGGAATCTACTCTCAAGGAGTATGATTCAAACCATTACTTGGGAGTGGATTCCACTATGATTTGGAGTGGATTCCACTATGATTTGGAGCGGATTCCATTATGATTTGGAGCGGATTCCACTATGATTTGGAGTGGTTTCCTCTATAATTTAGAGTGGATTCCACTATGATTTGGAGTGGATTCCACTATGATTTGGAGCGGATTCCATTATGATTTGGAGCGGATTTCACTATGATTTGGAGCGGATTCCATTATGATTTGGAGCGGATTCCACTATGATTTGGAATGGATTCCACTATGATTTGGAGCGGATTCCATTATGATTTGGAGTGGATTCCACTATGATTTGGAGTGGTTTCCTCTATAATTTAGAGTGGATTCCACTATGATTTGGAGCGGATTCCATTATGATTTGGAGTGGATTCCACTAATATTTGGAGTGGATTTAAAAAATTAACCATGTCTTTCTACATATTATAGCCCCATATGCTTGTCTGGAATGTAATCTCACAGATTTTGTCAATTAATATTAAGTAGAAAATAACATGTGTCAGATGCACACAATTAAGCAAAATAGATCAGCGGGACTGAAGGGAACTAGATCAAATGTGAGACAAATTTTCAGGAAAATAAAATAAATTCGATGAATGAGCATGGTTATAATATTACATTAGGTTTGTAACTTGAAATGATAATATACAGGCCATGTGATAAAGATGTGTTTTTTAAATCAATGTTGTAAAGTTATTTCAGTGTCTGTTGCGATATGGCACGTAGTATCTGTCATCGTTTTCACCATTTAACAAAAACATTCATTGCAACACTTAAATGCTACGATTATATAAATATTTTGCACATTATCTACATTCAATGCCCATATCAACACCAAAACTTATCAGATATGATATGGAAATACATGTCGGGAGAAACCAATGCTGTCCCAAAATGAAGTGTGGTAAAAATCAAATTTTGTGAATCGTGGTCACGCATGAGCATTAAAGTTTACACGGGACATATTTATAAAGATGGCTTGCAGTGCGCACGCCCTCATACAAGTTTTGCAAATTGTTGGTGTGTTCTAGTATCTATAGTAATGCTTATACATACGATTTGTCATATAGAAAGCACATCTTAGTGCCTTATATGTAGCATGAATTTCATGGATTATATTTCTTAAGTATAAACAATTTCGTAATAACTGATTTTGATCGGAAACAAATTAGTTTCAAATACATGTTTCATGTAATATCATGTGTTCCTAGTTTATTAGTAAAAAACAAACAAAAGGTCTATCAAGTATCCAAGAAATGACGGATATTTTACACGATTTCTCTCGATGAATGTGAAAATTCAGAAATGTAATATATTTTCTAATGACTATAGTTAATATTGTAATAATTATATTATTTACATTCAAATTCGGCACCAGAGATATGTATTTACATGTATATACCGTGTGAGTCAAAAAAAGTTTACACCTAGTAAATTGATAATTATTTAAAAAAATCATCTATGAACAGTATATTATTATACATCTTATGAAAGAGTGTTCTATTCAAAATCATTTGATATCATTTTTGTGTGGTATGTGTTCACGCTTCGATGAACAGGAGGC